GTTTCTTATTAATAAATATATGTAGAAACTATTGTATTAAATTGAAGATATTTTATATAAGTAAGGTATGCATGTAAATATCAAATTATATATATATTTTGTACAGCACTGTATATAGTCTATCCGGTGTTTCATACATAAGATTTAAGGAACTTATATAATATATTTGCTCTAATAATTCTCTAGTAGGTTTTTTTTGAATTAGCTATATCATATTTTGACAAAATAGTTGCTCGTTTTGTAAGACGAATGCAAAGAAATGTTTAAGCAATTCGAAATCGATGAATCTCACTGTCTTATGTATACAGTATTGTATTGTATTGAAAAGTAATGTAACGTTACGTAATGTTTTGTAATGTAATCTATCGTATGGTTTTACAATGTGTCGTAATGTCATATCACGTTATGTATTGTAAATATCATATATCATCATGTCTTGTAATGTCATATGTAGTACTAGCGGATGTACCCGGCGTTGCTCGGGTGAATTCAAGTGTGGCAAAATGACGTTTTGATTATTGAGGGGAAAGTATGTTTGCATTTTATAGAGTAAAGTTTTCAAGGTATAAAGTTCCCAGGTGAGTATACGGTATGTGTTAACCTTGTTGACATGTTGACAATGTTGACATTGTGATCATTGTGGGTGGATGACATTGTCGTCTTGAGCATTTTATCGAAAATTAGTGAAACATAGAAATCGAATGAATAATGATAGTTGTTCCCATATGTGTTAATAACTTGTGTAGACAATTTCGAAATACAGGCTTTGGAACCAAATAGATTATCATACAAGTGTTAATTTCAGAACATGTAACATTGTAAATTTAAAAGTAAATAATAAAACTCATTTCGCATTATATAAACCAAATACATGGTAGTAGAAATAACTTAAACAATAATAACATATCTACACTTTCAAAACATCTAACATTGTAAATGAATAAATAAGAAACACCCGCGGTCTGTAGCCCTTGGCTGGAAAGTGGTTTTGCAGAACTTATCAGATCGTGCGCTTTGAGTGGCGCCACCGTCGTTGTAATGAAACTGTAGTCGTTAGTTTTAAAACATTTTTTAATAATATTTCTAATGGTGATTGATGCATGAATTGAACTTTTTATGTAGCGTAATTATAAGCTAAATTAGCTGAAAACAACCCTATAACCTATAGAGTAAACTCTCCCTTTAAGTTATTGAAATTAGGAATGCAAGTGCATAACTTCAAAATGCAGGATTAAGTTAGGTGCTGTCAATGACACAGTAGGTTAAGTTTGTTCTGTTCTACGTGGACAAACAAGACAAGACGTCTGGCTTTTAATGCCTGCCACCTGTGAAGATGTCAGCGACAGGAATGCCAGCGGAATCACATTCGGTGAGATTCAGCGCACCTCAGTGGTGGATAGATCATTCCATTCTTACTTTTTCAAGCCAGACGTCGTCTTGTTTGTCCACGTAGAACAGAACATGGTGTCAGAATAAGTACGAACTCGCCTTGAGTGATACGAATGACCATAGACATAGTTCTCGAGAAAGAACATGCAGAGCTGCAAGAAGAGTCAGTGAGGAAGTAAGACGCTCTATTCATGATCTATTATTGTGATTAAGTGTGTACTCTATCCAGTCACGCCATGGAGCTAGCTGGGATTCCCGTGCCTAAGGTGGAGTGGGACTCGTCTAACCTGCCTGAGGCGTTTAAACAGTTTAAGCAGCACATTGAACTCGTGTTTGATGGCCCGTTGACAGATAAAGATGAGGCAGTGAAATGCAAGTATTTCATGCTGTGGATTGGAGACAGAGGGAGAGAGATTTACAACACATGGTGCGTTTCGGAAGACGATGCGAAAAAACTATCTACCTACTACGAGAGTTTCCAGTCGTACATACAGCCGAAATTAAACCCGATATTTGCGAGGTACAAGTTTAATAACGAGGTTCAGCGAGAGCAGTCAGTAGAGCAGTTCATAACCAGGCTTCGAGTTCTCGGAAAAGATTGCAATTACAGCGATCTGGATGAAATGATACGGGACCGAATTGTATTTGGTATCTCGAACAGTAAGGTCAGGGAGAAGCTGGTGAACGAGGGAGAAAAACTGACTATGGAGAAGGCAATCACTATTGCGCAGCAATTAGAGTATGCACAGGAGCAGATGAGGTCGATGTCAGCGACAGGAATGCCAGCGGAATCACATTCGGTGAGATTCAGCGCACCTCAGTGGTGGATAGATCATTCCATTCTTACTTTTTCAGCCGGATTAAGAGATCCAGGATGTCGAAGACTTCTATTCTTGGTCCAGTCACAGCGCGTAGTTGTGCTAAGGCTATCTGTGAGGATCTTCACAGGAGAGACCCTTAAAGTAGCTGAAGAGTCCTGGACGAAAGAGACCTTTCTCCAGTTCGTGGAGGATGTGAGCTACAAGGGGTTCAACGCAGGTGTCATTAGAGAGCAGTTGTTCTACCTGAAAGGAAAACCCATTGAAGATGCCGGCAGAGAAGTGGATTTTTCTAAAGTGTTCGTTGATGTGATCCATGACGTCTCCTCAATGTGCACCCTGGTGCTGCTCTGTGGTACACAGGCTGTCAAGAAAGAGGCGAGGATGCCGAACTCACAATCCTTGAAGAGACTAGTGGCCGAGTACTCCATAAAGTCCAGAGTGGAGCAGGGTGATGGGGAGACAACTCTCACCTTCTCCAGAGTGGCTGCTAGTTTTCCCCATATCATGATGTCCATGTTGGGCAGGATACTTAGAAGCTCTAAATATAAGTATCAGAATTTCAAACTAATCGAAGATCTATCACTAGTCCTGCAGTTCCCTGGAGCAGCTGCCATCATCCCGACAAAGTGGAACAAGATCAAAATGGCTCACTACATTTGGTCAGTGGGTTTTGCAGTGAAGATTAATAACTTCCCAGAAGACACTGCGGGAGTGATAGAGAGAACTACCAAGTTCTGGACGCTGTCTGCTGCATCTGCAGACTGGAAAGTCAAGGAGAGAGAGTCTCATGAAGGTGGCAGGCATTAAAGAACCAGCATGACCTGCCAAGTACGGATTCTTAGACATGTCAATTCTCTCTGATAGTGATCTGATTAGAAAGATGCAAGAGATAGGAGTGATCTCAGAGGAGACGTGGAAGCAGCTCAGTAGTACATGGGCAGTGTTAGGTGGTTCTTTACCTAGTAACATGGGATGTAGCATAAGTTTTATGGCATTTTAGCCAGCATGTTGAAGTTACAGTTTTAAACCTAGTTATTAAGTTGTGTGTCTAGTTAAGACGTGGCCCTGCTGTTCACAAGGGGCATAACACTGAGAGCAATTAGTCCAGTGTCACCTATTGAGCTTGGGGATTCTCCTGGGCAAAATGGGGTTAAAGAGTCATAGTCCGATTGACTAGTTGTGCGTGGCTCCAGCTAGCCAGACGTCTTGTCTTGTTTGTCCACGTAGAACAGAACAAAGTTGTGTATCCTTGTGAAAATAGAACTAAAAAAGTATGGGTCGATGTAAATTGTAAAAACTAACATTTAAATGTATAATCATGGTGCTGAGTATTCTAGACGACGACACTGCGTATAGCACGACACTGCTAATAGTCTTAATAGCTTGGTGTGTCGCAATTAAAATGGGTAATATGTATTCGATGTGTATTTTGCGATATAGATCGTGGATTCGCTAAAAAAAATCAGGGATCAGGACAGCAGGGAATCAGGGGAAAATACAGGACGTACAGCGACAGACGGACGTATGTGGAATAGTATAGAACGTATATAATTGAAATGCACTCACGTTCAAAGTTGTTGCCGTGAAATACCGAACGCCAGCAAAAGAGGATAGACGAAACTGATCATATTGCGGGCATCCGTGGAATGCTACGATGATGCAGATAAGGCACGTAGTTCGAATACGACGTGGTTTTCGAATACGACCTGGTTTTCGAATACGACGTGGTTTTCGAATACGACCTGGTTATGGAAGAACTTAGAAGCAAGAACAACACAGAAAAGCGAAAGAGAAACTGACACAAAAAACCGAAACAGAAACAGAGACAATGATCACGCAGCGACAGGCGCTGAAATGTTGATTGGACAGCGTTGCCAGCGTTGATGCGGCTGCTGACGTCATTTGACGCCATAGCGTCAAAACGTGGCGTCGGACGAAAACGGGACATAGCCTATGTTACTCCCAGGGTCAAAGTACCCCCAGGTACCAAATTTGGGGTCGATCCGTCGAGAGGCGGCGGAGTTCACTTGCCGCAAACTACACACACAGATTTTAACATTTATATAGTAGATAATGTCATATCATGGCAACTAAGTATGGTGACGTAATATATCGTCATGTATTGTAGGTAGTATTACGTCGGCAATGTTTATTGTAAGGTTATAGCCTCGTTCACACGAGACCTCGTATTTATGAAATACGGTATTTGCGAAATACCGAATCTGAGACAAATACGTGGGCGAGCGTTCACTACGCTGATTCGCGGCTCCAGAAATACGGTATTTGCGAGCTGCGAGCAGCTTTAAACATCAAGCAAACAATGCGAAATAAACAATCCAATGCGCACAACTGCGATAAAATACGTAGACTGGTCCGCGCTCGACAGTTCCACTCGCGTTACACTGCGAACTGTCGAGCGCGGACCAGTCTATAAAATACCGGCTTCAGAAATTCCGGTATATGTCAAGCACGGCAAATTATTCGGGTCTGGGAAGCCGCCGTATTTACATCAAATACCGGATGGACTGTTTAGATACCGTCTATCTATGGACCGCGCATCTTGCCTCGTGTGAACGCTAAATACCGGATTTCTTGCTACGTGTGAACACGGCTTTATGTCTTGTATTAGAAAAGGTCTGAGACATTGATAAAAAGTTAAATTACATGTATAATTATACTACAACACTATAATTATATAATTTTTTATATCTTCAGGTTCTGTACTGCTACTGGCCCACAAACAACGGATCTGTACGTGTAAGGAGAGAGGAATTGCCGGACAAGGAGAAATGGACTAAGCACAAGATCAGTGTTTTCATACACAGGTAAAATTTAACCTTATATTTGTGTACATAACATTTGTGTATCATCTATGGCCAATGCATTTTTTATTGAAATTTTTGTTGAACGAGCATGTCTTTTTTTTACATGTAGAAAGCTATGGGAAAGCCCTGAAGCAAGCCAGGTTGGCAGAGGAGACATCAAATTTGGAATCTGGTGGTGAGGAGGAGCCATGCACAAGAAAAAGAAAGGTTCCAAGTCGCTATGAGTTTTCAGAGAGTGGACCTGCTGATGGTGTGTTTTCATAAAGCAGACAATTGCTTGTTTTTTGGCCTCGTGGGCTATGCAGATGTGTGTCCCTGGGGATTTTCAATTGGGTGGTTTGCTAATATGTTCTAATACTGGACAAGCCTAATGTTATTTATCAATAACAGTGTCAGCAAGTTTGTTGCAAGATTTTTATGCCCTGATAGCATACGTTAATGTTCTATAACTCTATAAATTTATAACGCTTTTAGCTAACTTATACATGATATGCTCTGCTTTTTTCAACAGAAAAACTGTTCAGTTTATTTCTAAGCCTTTTATTCAGAAGCCTGCATCAGAGCTCATAAGGCCAGAGAATTCGAAATTGAGGAGTGCATTGCCGAGACACTGAAACATGCACCACCCAAACCAGGGGGATCAAAAAAACATGGTAAGAATGATGGAAAAATTGTATTCATACATATGTCTTTACTCATGCAGATGCACTTAATTGTGAGATGTGTGAAATGTAGAAAAAAACATTGTCATGCTTTTTTATTTCCCATCTACTGCACTTCAAGTGAAGAAGTATTTTATGTCATTCTACAGAAAGTTATTTGTAACAATATTTGTTTCGCTGAGTATTTGAGTTTGCTACGTTGGAGCCACCGTAGTGTTAATCACGTGAGTTTCCCACAAGCACTTGCGGCTCTCGTGGCAGATTACTTGGCCATATTTGTGGAAAAGCTGTAGTTTTTCATCTGGCAGCGAAAGGATGAGTTGAGTCTCGTGGTTATGGTGATTTTGCCAGGCATTATGAACGCGAGCACGTCTTTACTGTTCCCGCCAAGAAGTAAGTTTATAGTACAGAGTGAATGGAACAGTTTAAAATAATATGTCTAGCATTTGCGTCCATAAACGGTACTCGCCAAATGGAGCGAGTTCGATAGATGACATCTGATGCGCCTTGACTTTATGCGTCGATTGACAAGTATATACTTAGCATTTTTGCATGAAGAGACAGCGAGATCAATGTGCAGTGTGTGGCGTTCGTATGACATTACGCATAGATGCGTTTGGTTTGGATTTAATCACGAGACGACACGTTGTGTATACGTAACGTGCGGCGGCCGTGGCACACGGATACACGTTGTTTACATAGAAACATTTGTCATGCTTCAAACCATTCGACAGCGATGACGTTGACCTGTGGTGTTCGTGTGACTTTCCGCATGAATTCGATAGATTACATCCAGATTAAATAAAACCATTTAACGGTTATATATCATTTCAACGGGAGCGTTAAGACGTTTGAGTTTCCTGCCTCTGGAGCGATCCAATATTAGATTCTGTCAGTTCAATATTTTCAATTTCACAACGATATATTAGATTTTTACAAAATATATGTGATTTGGAAACAGGAAAAATAACAAATCGCATATTCTTAGCATATTTTTTTGCATTCGATTCTGTAGAGTTATTTGATATATTTTGTATGGCTAGTATGGAAATTATTTGGTAGAAAAAAATGAGCAATATATATTCGATTGTTCTGTACAATATGGGTATAAATTTTATCAACAAATATTTGTGGATGGCATACTGCTACATCTAAACAGCCATATCCATTGCATTCTAGTACAATAATTAGCATGCTTTGTGTGTTTCAGAACCGTACACGTCGGGACCAGGAGGCCGATTCAGCGTGCGACACTGATTCAGATTGAATAGCAGACAAACACCAAAGACCCTTAACCTGCCCTAACCCTAACCCTAACCTGCATCTAACAACAAAACTATACACGAATTAAAAATAACTAACTAGTATTAAAAACTAATTTATTGTGTTAACGTAGATGTTGAAAGTAGCTCTTGTAATTAAAAATGCAAATTTAAAACCTGTATATTGTAATGTGCCTTTATTGTATATAATGTAAAAATAAAAATTGTCACAAACTATTTTAAGTGTTTATTTTTATTTTTTGAACTCTATCAGTTGTGCAACATATTTTAAATGTATATTAACTTAGTTTTTATGGCAAAAAAATACAAACTAAAATTATGCATTTCATGAGCAGATGGGCATTATCAATTTAAACGAATGTAAAATTCTGTGATGTTCCCGTGAAATAATGTACATGTCAACTTTCATGCTCATGTCTTTTTTGCTTTAATTGAAAATTAAATACAAAATTAAATATTCTTTTGAACGTGTACACATGGTTGCAGGAATGTTGCATTACAACGTTGTATCACAACGTTGTGGCAACGTTCAGGGGAGTTTACAAAATAACGTTGCCACAACGTTGTATCACAACGTAAGCGAAACGTTGTGACAACGTTGCCACAACGTTATATTGTTAGCTGGGTGTCTGGATAAACGGCTTTGCGGAGACGATGGGGAATTAACACCACGTGCAGCCTATCACTAATTTCGTAACCACCGCAGTTCTTGATTATAGGCCCTTGGGAGAATTGAATCATTGATTGGTTAAATTCACGCACTACTTCGTTATGTAGGCCTATGAGGCTTCTAGAGCAGCTATATTATATACATTTATTACAATGACAAATTGTAGACCTAGGCCTACTTGAATGTGAAGCCTAATATAGCAGCAATAAATAATGTGACGCCAGGTTCTCTCTGACGATCCCTGTAGGACTGCGCCTATCTGGCCGGCAAAAAGTTTACTGACATGTTTCAGATCCATGTTTCAAGACATTTTCCCATTATTGATTACGCAGGTGTCCACAGCAAACCAAACGTATTGCATATCTCAGCCTAGTACGACCAATAATGGAGTATGGTGCAATAATATGGGACCCATACCAGCGACAGGATATAGACCGACTAGCAAAGATACAACACCGTGCAGCCCGCTTCATCACAGGGGACTACCACAGCAGAACTTCAGGCTGTGTTACAGACATGCTATCGTACCTACAGCTGTAAAGCTTCCAAAACCGCCGTCGTGATGTGCGACTAACCTATCTCTACAGAATCATCAGGGGCTGGTACCAGCAATGCCCCCGTCAGATTTTCTACAACCAGTTCAAACCGGCAAAAGACGAGTGAGACCACCTAGCAGATACAACAAGGAGGAGTTCATCAGTGCTCCCATCAACGAACGTGCCATCCGTCTGAACTCAAAAGGATTCAACAAGTACCAGCGAACAAAACTGACCAGTACAAGAATTCCTTCTTTGTCCGCACAGTGATATAGTGGAACCACCTGGGTGACCACATAGTAACTGCAGATAGTGCTGAGCAATTTACATCTAAGCTCAGCCAACATCAATTCTAAAATAATTAGCCCTCTCCCGATTCCGTTGCCTCGATGCCAATTTTGGATACTGCAACGTACTACAACAGAAAAAAATTGATTAGGCCTGTAGGCAATTTCTGAATTAATTCTAAGATCGCAGTAAAGTCGATCAGGAATTAGCCCAAATGTAGTGCTGCTTGGTCTGGGTAGGGATTTCTAGTCTTTGGCCAAGTAGGCAGGCCGAGGCTGTTTTAAACCCCTATAGGCCTTCGTGAATTCAGTGTCAAGAGGCTGAATCATAGGGCCTATTTTGGAAAACTGATCAGGCTTGAATGAGTGAACAAAATTACTTTTATTGTAGGAATGTCAAGTCGATGAAACCAGAGAGCTATCAGACGATACGGTACAAGCAGTCCCTGGTCTACCCAAAGAAGGGGAAAAAGACGGCCCCTACTATACGTGTGATAGCCCATGTCATCCTCCTTCAGACTACAAGTATCCCATTCGAGTGATAAATGGTGTGGACCGTCGTTTCGTTGTAAATGCGAAAACATTCTTCTATTCCGGTAGCTGGCAGATGAATGAAAGAACCTGGCACCCGACTTTCATATCTCTAGCTTTCAAACAAGCGATTGAGCATGAAGCACTTAAAGGCACTCATGTGGCCTGCTTCCGAAACAACACAGATGTTCCAATACTTCCAAATTTTTTTGAATGTCATGAAATTAGTTCTATAAGAGATATGGATCCCATGAGTTACCGATGGGAATTACAGCTACTGTCGGTCTTGGTCTTGCCACTGTCTATGCTGCTTCAGAAGTTGTTTCAGTTAATGTTGCTTTTTCTAAGGCTACATGCATATCATATGGGTCGCTACCTCTGGAAATTGGTGTGATGTGTTGTGGCACCCAATTAGATTTCATATTTGGCTATGATTATGATGAAGTACCACCACCCAGACGAGGAGAGCCGGCTCCAGCGGGACTTCAATCAATACCCCAGTAGAACGGTTCGCCGGATCTTGGAGGAGGATAGCCTGCCTTACGACGGCACCCCGGAAGCTGCAGATCGGTTTCTCCGGTCTACGTACGAGAGGCCAGCATTGTCCCCGGCAGCTTTAGACCATGTTCGGCGTGCATTCGACTCGTGCGCCTCGACGGCACCATCCCGGGAACAGCTAGATCTCCTGAGTGGACCGCCGACCCGCCAAGAAATAGCCGCCCATATAAAGCAGGCCTCCAATACAGCACCGGGAGCAGACCGCCTACAGGCACCTCCGCGCAGTGAACCGGCAAGGTATCCTCATGGAGAGGATCCTGAGTGCTGTCCACTAGGGATCCCCGCCGCCTGGAAGGAGAGCAGAACGATCCACATACACAAGAAGGGGCCAACAGACGATCTGGCTAACTTTCGACCGATCAGCCTGCTCACCACCATCTACAAGCTCTTCTCCGGAGTTCTGGCCTCACGCTTGACGCGAGTCGCGGTCGAGCTAGGCTGGATCTCCCCTGAGCAGAAGGGCTTCCTTCCAGGTGTCAGGGGCATTCAAGAGCACACACATCTGCTACAGTCGGCCATCGAGGATGCCAGACGAGACAGACGGGACCTTACCATCACGTGGCTAGACCTGTCGAACGCTTTCGGTTCGATCCCTGAGGGAGTTCTGCACCATCTTTTTGAGAGCCTGCCGATTCCAGCAGACCTGAGACGTGTCCTCCTGGACGTATATACGGACTCGGTCTGCAACTTTCTGGTGGGCGGAGACTCCTTCAGGATGCGACCGACCGCGGGTGTTCGGCAGGGCAACGGCCGGCCTGTCGCCAGTCGTCTTCAACCTGGCGACAGAGCCTCTGCTGCGTGCGACCAAGGACCCCTCGGCACCTGGCTTCCAGCTCATGGGACGCACCCTACGCACAACCGCCTACGCCGATGACTCCACCCTGCTGGGGAGCTCAGTGGAAGATCAGCAGACCTCCCTGGATCGAGTGTCGCAGGCCGCAACCACAGTCGGCCTCCGCTTCAATCCAGATAAATGCGCCTCCCTCGTCATAGAGGGGGAAGCAGCAGACGGATGATGGGGCCCTGAAGCTCTACGGGGTCCTCATCCGTTGCCTTCGCCAGGGGGGACAGGAAACGTACCTAGGCATCCCTATAGGGTGCAAACTCTTGTTCCGGCCTGCACGAACACTACCGGAGAGGCTCGCCAAGATCCAGGATTCCCCGTTGGCACCATGGCAGAAGATGGAGGTCCTCCACGGCCACCTCCTCCCCTCTCTGTCACACTCTCTGGCATCTGAACAGACGGAGAAGGCCTTCCTACAGGATATGGACCATCAGAGCCTTCATGCGCACAGTGACGAAGACTCCAGACTCTTCCTCGCAGGCCTTCCTCCATGCAGAGCGCAGCACCGGCAGTTTAGGCATCCTCCCTCTCTCACAGGAGGCTGATGTCTGGACCGTGGCTCGGACTGCCCAGCTGCTGGACTCGTCCGACCCAGACGTCAGAGAGATCGCCCGGGCACAGCTGGAGACGACAGTGTCCAGAGCGCTAGGAGAAGATGCCCCAGACACCTCCCCATCTCGGAATTCCTGTCGGGGTCAACCGCTGAAGGCTTCTATAGGATCAGACATGCTGTCGGGGGCGCGAACATCTGGACGAGAGCACGGCACGCGGCCGCTAGGCTGCACTCCAGATTAGATGTATCCGGCGACAATCATACGCTTCTTCTCGTCGAAGACGTCTCTGCAGTGTCGGCCAAAGCGGTCCGCTCCCTCCGCCTCGCCGCCCACCAACGATGGACAGCAAAGTTCACTGACCTTCCTGTCCAAGGTCGTGTGGCGAGTGGCCTCGTACTGGACCCCCCACCCGAAAGAGTGTCCCACCTGGTCTCCTGCTGGACACCTCTGTCTTTTGAGGACTGGCGCCACCTATATCGGTCGCGCCTCAGCCTCCGTGCGCGGTAGTCCTGCCGACGCTGCCTCACTGAGCTAGAGACGACAGCCCACGCCATCCAAGGTTGTCGATCATCATTCCCGCTCATGACTAAGCGCCACGACGCAGTCAAGTTGGCGCTAGTCGACATGCTCGAGGCAGCTGGACTTCACCCGCGAGTGGAGACTGCAGCCCCCGGTAGCCGGCTCATCCCCGACATACAACTAGACACCCCCGACGGACTCACCATCATCGACGTCGCGGTGGTGTTCGATGTGCCGAGCAATATGGAGCGCGCCCACACAGAAAAGAAAGAGAAATATGAAGATGTCGGCACTGTCCTCCCTCTCATCGTTGGAGCAATGGGGACATGGAGAGAGCCCAACGATAACATCCCAGGCTCCCTAAAAATCCCCCCAAAAACATGGGCGACCTTCCGGAAGAAATGTTGCCTGCTCGCCATCCAGGGCACGACAAAGATTGTCGCTGCTGCCCTGGACAGTGATTTTTAACTGGCTGTGATTTAAGAATACGTCTATTGTTTAAAGTTAAACATATTTTATTATTTTATTTCATTTTTTATTTCTGTACAACTGCCATACGTGTATTATTGTTCATTCAATAAAATGTTACTAAAACTGAAAAATAAAACAGCGGTTCCAGGGGCGTGCGATCCACATTGTAGTATGGAGAACCCTCTAATATCAAAAGTGCTAGGGCATAGAGTGCGTAACGACTCTGTTATTACAACAGGAATCAACGGAATATACGATGGTGTAAACAGTAGTCTGAAACAGGTCTTTGTAATTACAACTGGTAAGATAGCTCTTAGTCTTTAACATTGGGGAGTACCGTGGAAGCACGCCAGTTGCTACAAATGAGCAAGTAGTAATCGGGGCCATACAACAGATGAATGTTCTCACGTATGAAGGACTTGACTTGGACTCATTTATGAATGTTCAAGAGGGTAAACTGGCAGAATTACGCAATCGGCTAGGGTGGAAAAAAGAAGTAGGAAACAGCGACATTCATATACCATCGTGGGAGACGTCCTTTTCTATTTCTGAAAGACACCAAATTAAAAAACTCATTAATAGGGCAAGTGCCCCCCAGATATCTGAATTGA